TTTTAGTGGGGAGATCAGGACTAAAATTAGCTGGGGGACCAGGGTTAGACTCCACATCATTTGCAAGATCAAGTAACAAGGAATAGGAATTTGGAATAGGAAAATAATGTATTTACATAATTTTATAGGAACACAAATATAATTTTATATAAGATGGTACGCCATAATATTAAATAACATACATTTAGAATAATAATACAAGAAATTCATTCAGAAGAATGTTGTATTTATTAAGGAATAGGGATAAATATTTTCTTTTTGGCAACAATAATATAAGGATTCAAATAAAAAAAAAATATATAGTTTGGTATTAATATTATAAGGATTTAAATTAATTATTTTATTAATAGGACTTTAATTGTATTGTCACTTTAAATAATGGATTTACATAATTATATAGAAACACAAATATACTTTAACATTATGAAATACCATCTTATATAAACAATATACATTTATAATAATAATTAACAAAAACATGTATTTGAAAGAAATTTGGATTTACTTATATAAAAGTTATTATAAAATAACATAATACAAAAAAAATCTATATAATCTAAAATAAATTATAATGCACATAGACTAGTGTGAAAATATATTAAAAATGTTTACAAGACTAAATGAATGTCTTCGAACAGTTACACTGTAAATACACATTTCTGTGTTGATTAGAAAGATAGAAAGATAGAAAGGAGGAAAATTGTTTCATACTTCCCGTAATTTTCTTTTCCTGATAATTATTCATGGCAGCATTTACTCATGGGTTAGCTCCTCCCCTTCCCATCAGGCAGGACAGGAAATAGAACTTTGCAACTGGTATAAATAGATCCACCCCTTCCCATCAGGCAGTCTTTGTAACTAGCTTCACAACTCCTTTAATATATGGGTGGGAACGTAATGCTGCCATGAATAAATTATCAGGAAAAGAAAATTATGGTATGAAGCAATTTTCCTTTTTCCTGACCATTATTCATGGCAGCATTTACTCATGGGGAGTACCCAAGCAGTATATATAGAGGGAGGGACAGAGTTCAAAAACAGCTAACAGCTATAAAACCATTATTGAGCTGTATAAATCTTAGAAGACTTTACAAAGCCAAACAAGAATCAATAGGATATAGGAACAACACAGAAAAAAGGTGTGGAAATTAGTGGCGTTTTTTTGTATAATAAGAAATAATTTCGTTAAGCTTCTATAAAACACTCAAAGGGTACTCCAAAACCCACTCTCGACATGCAAAAAACAAACCAGTAACCACGAGTGGGTCAGTGTAAAAAAAACTTTCCCACTACTTGGTAAGAGTGTAGCGCTAAAGGTGTAATTCCAAAGTGTTCAAATATATAAACATACCCTTACCACTCAGGATAAAGGCAAGAGCTATATAGACACAAGAAAGAAAAAACAGAAAGGCACATAGAGTAATATTGTATGACTATACACATAGTTTAGATTTGAATATGTACAGGTAAACTCACATTTTATAGAGCCTTTTATATGGGTATAGGCTCTAAACACTTTTGCATCCGTGCCTTTAAGGTAGGCAGCAGTACCGTATTGGTGTAGTTTGTTCTTTTCTCTTCCTTTCAACCAAAATCGATCTCCAAAAGAGATAAAAAGGAAAAAAGAACTTCTGGCTACAGATTGTTATACCCTTAGTGCACAGTGCAATATATATACACAGAAAAAAGGCTCTAAGTATTACTGGTTCATGTGTCTATTATTAGGGGTGACACTACCCTTAACCAGATCCAAAGGTGCAAGGCAGAGGTAAGTATATTCGAAAAAAAAAGTATTTATTAAAGATATTTACAATATAAATGATTTAAAATTAGCAAAATACTAATAAAATAAGTAAATACAGTACATGTCGGGTCTCTTCCTCACCTGCTGTACCAAGACGTGTTTCGCCTTCGATGTCGGCTTTTTCAATTGGCATTCTGTTATTTTCTTACTGTCCGGTTTTTAAGATAATGTGTTTTCCTGCCTCTTCTCTATTCCTCCAAATCGCTCATCGGAGAGGTGGGGATAGCAGCTGATCTCTGTTTCGGCTCTGATTGCCATTTCGTCACTTCCGGTCTATCAACTGTAACGTCACTTCCGGTTCGCCGTCTGAACTACATTACCCGAAAACCTCTTCTCTGTAGTTCCAACAGGTTTAGACAGTTCAAAGTTCCCCAATAGGGATTCCGTCAAAGTTCATATTGTCACATAACGAGTATTAAGGAACTCGTAAAAAACAGAACATAATTAGAGATTTGGGAAGAGAAAGGGGGTATCAGTTATGGAAAACATTTTAAAACTCATAAAAAATATACATATATGTAAAATTGAAATTTAAGCAATTATACGGAGGCCAATTCCTCAATTTTTTTGGTTATATCTTTAGTTGGGTCACCTGGTAATTTGCAATATGTGTCTAAATCCCCAACTAGCCTTAGGCCTTCCTGTATATATTTGGCAGTATCCATTACTACTATACCACCCCCCTTATCTGCCGGTTTTATTACTTTGCTTTGATCCTTTTGAAGTTTTTTTTAGGGCTAACCATTCTGATTTGTTTAAATTCATCTGTTTTTTTTTTTTTTTAAATCTTGTTTATATCTTCTCGTCAAAGAAAAGATTATTGGGGAAAAAAAAAAAAGTAGATTTGTCTCTTAAGTCAGTATGGATATAGTTAGATTGGGGCACCTGCATTGGATAGTTATCTGTTTTTAAAAAACATTTTTTTTAGACATAGTTGTTGTGGCAAACCTAGCCACTTGGACATTGTTTAAGTACTGTCGCTTTAAGGGTTGCCTGTATGTTTTTCGTGTTATGTGTGTTCCAGCGTATAATGTAATGCAATTGTATAACTGTATTTCCTGCACTGGCTATCTGCCGAAAGCAGATAGCTGATTTCCTGTCTTTTCACGAACGGCACCTTTGCGGGCCGTTCGTGAACCGAAAGAACCATCATTTAATAGCCCACACACTTAGAGACGTGTGGCGCCTATTAACGATTTCAACAATGTTGCAATCGGTAATTAGAGGCTCTCCAAGGTGGCCGTCGTTCGACTACCGACCATGCGGCGGTCGGCCATCTTGGATCCTTTGTTCCCTCAGCGGTGTTTGGTCGTCGAGCGCATGGTACTAAAAACGGCTACTCGACGGCACGAACACCGCTGAGCTTCCAGGCCGTTCAGGAGGTCCGGGCTGTTCAGTATCCTGTTCCCTTACATGCAATCGGTCTTTTGAAGATATGTTTTAATGAATGTGTTTTTCGTGCGGCGTTCGGTTGTTTTAGCTGGGATCTAAGCGGTAGTCTCACGAATAATGTGCTCAGACCCCAGCTATCTACCGAACGTCCATTCGTTTAAACAGACCGTATATTCAAAGAGTTATACATTTTAATATAAATTGTAGGTTCTGCTGCACGGAGCGATAATCCACTTAACGGTACATTCCTGTGGGAGGATCCCTCTCGTGCAGCAGTGCCTGATGGGAGAAATGTCTTGTACAATAAGTCCCCCATGTAGTCCCCTCTGGGAATGCCCCTGGGAGGGGACTCAGGAAACCCCTTGCATGCGAACTTCTATAAATTGTGGAGCTGAAATAAAGACCTCAGTTGACTCCCAGCCTATGTGTCGTCTAGTTCTTGGGAAGGAAGGGTTACTACAGTGCTACTTGGATTACTGCATGCTGATACCCCTGGATTATCCTTTGTTGTTCCGGTTACCCAGCGGAGATATCGTGGATTATACTGCCTCTCCGCTACAGTTGTCGTTTGAATTTAAGTCAATGAAGACTTCAAAACAATCCAATGGCTTAGTGGGGACAAACTTCAAGCCTTTACTTAATATTCTTTGTTCTACATTTGTTAGTGGCATTTCGGTTAAGTTAAAGATAATTGGATTAACTGGTCCCTCTTTTTTACTTTTCTTATATTTTTCTCTTATTTTTTTGCCTCCTCTCTTTCCTCTAATTCTATATCTTTCCGTCTCTTCAAAGGTGATCTCTGATATGAGATTCTGTCGTGCATTGATTCCTGAAATTGAGTGGCTTTGAATTCTCCCCTTTTTCTTCCTTCCTGAAAAAAATCCTCTCTATGTGAATCTGAAAAAACTTCAAAATCTATTATGTAATGGTAGATGTCTGTCATTCAGTTCTTTCCTAAGAATCAATAGGATATTGTCATAAAATCTGCTCAGACAAGTTAATTTTCCCTAGAGGCTGCAAGGTCAGCAACCTCCTGGCATTCAATATCTGAAATATCCTGGATAGATATAGAGTCAGATAGGAATTAAGGCCATGATAGCATAAACTAGAGAAGGATAATGTCATTCTGATATAAAATGTAAAACCAAATTGATGCCATCATCAAATCAGTACCTCGACAAAGGCATAACTTCCAGAGATCATACTGGAACAAGTAGATAATGTTGGATGAGAACGGACACACCATGCTATTAACCCCTTAAGGAC